GTTGCGTGATTTATTACATCATTAATACATTTCAAGAGTATTCTTTCGCAAATCAAGAGAAATGTTCATGATAAGTCTTGTGATTAACCAAAATTTGCTAGCGGAAACGCGCTAGCACGAAATTAAACCGTCAAGAAATTCCGGCGGAGGAAAAATCGCGTACGTTCGCCTTGACTTGAATCTGCCGAAAGACCAGAACTTAAACATCGACTTTCACGATTCGATTTCGTTCGGTCCACTTACTTCATACCGCTCGAAATCGTTCGAGTCACCCGTTCTGTGCGACGTCTCGATCGTTTCCACGGTTCAAATGAACTTTCGTTCTCGACATCGAGTTTCGGCCGCGAGCTTACGTTCCGTTCCGCTCCGGCGGCATTTTTCGTCGATTCGGATTTTATCGTGCGATTAAAACGCTCGCACGCGCGCTGATTACTTTCCTCTGTTTTGTTCTTAACCGCAGAAAGTGTCACAAAAAAGCAAAAAAATAAAAGAGAGAGAGAGGGGGGAAAGAATTGCGCGCGCAAACAACCGAGCCGAGAGACGCGCGAGGTGAAAATCTCGTTCGATAATTAACGCGCTTTTGCAAAGCAACACAAAGCACGTCTCGCCGAGCCTAGTTCTCAGGAGCTAAACGCTCTCTGGAAAGTGACGCGTGTGGAATCGTATTATACGAATAGAGGAGAGATCTCCCGAAGAAAACGCGCGGCGTGTCGAGACACGCGGAACGAGTTGCGGCGAGTGACGATATTTTCGTAGACCCGTCTCTCGCGAGCGGCGGCGGCAACGATCTGCATTCTAGATCTCTGCATCCGATCGACACACTTAAATATTCATGTCGCATCGACGAGGCATCGACGATATCCGAGCAGACTCGCCGAGCTGATCAAGGACGGAATAAACACGCGCCATTATTAGATACATACAATATGCGCCGGATCAGATGATCGCCAAGATCATTGATTAACGACTTAATGATCGCAATTACGGCACGTAAATAATTGCAGAAACAAGTACATCGTATCGCTTAGTCACGTCATATAATCGGAGAAAAACGCGTCCGATCGATTATTCAAATCGTGTACGTTTGTTTGCGAAACGGTCCGAAGAGCGAGGTTAAAAATTTGACGACACTCGAGAATTTTTGAAATGAAGGGTCCGGAGAGCGGAAACGGAACAACTGGATATGTAATTTGCGAAAATAATATTTCAAACAATATACCGAGGGGTAGTTAATAAACATCATTTTTAGCATCAGTTGGATAGTGAAACCTAGACCGTCTAACTGAAATCTCGACGAAACGAAGAAAACTGAAAAGTAGTTTGCGAAAATATATTTTTTAAAGAATATATTGACAGATGCATAAAAATATATGACAATTCAGAGTTTTAGTATTAGCTAGATAGCTGGACATCGACGGTAAAACGATCTGGGCCGTCCAGCTAAAATCTCGAAACGTCCAGCGAACCAAATTGAATATTTTTTTTTCGATGAAGTTTGGAAAGCAGCCGAAGCAGTTCGACGAGAGAACTCGTTTTCGATTGATTGATATAGGTTAGGATTTAACTTTTGCAGATGTATACAAAGCAAATACTCTCGTCAGATCACCAACTTCAAAACAGCGAGACAAAAATATATGTTCCATCCATTTCAAAAACAAGTATGTATATATAATTATATACATATATAAATATCGATATATATACTACATAGTACATATCGAGTTTCAAAACAATTTAAGCACTTTGCTCGATGCGATTCCGGACTAGCCTTGAGACGACTAACTTTTCCAGCAATTCGTGAGAAACAAATTCTCTCAACAGATCATCGATTCGCTTTCCGAACAATATCGGGGATCAAAATGCTCCTCAAACCATCTTGAAACTCAGGATACGCCACATAAATTTGCGAACGGTTCGCGCGTGGCAACCAGGGAAGGGTAGGGAGGTGGCAGCGCACGGAACAAGTGCATCGTTATTTTAATCGAATAATTGCGCGTAGTTAGGCGCCGACGATGCGTTGGAATTCAACACATCACGGCGCTGCAGGTAACGTTGCGCATCCCGCAACGATGTGATATGCGTTCTTAACGAACTCCAATACATTGTCGACGCTAACTACACCCAATTAGAACGAAGGTCGATTGCTAAAATTATTACCTTAATGTCATGCCTAATCGATCTCCGCAGACGTCGACGAGGCGGTGATCTCTTCGCCTCGGCTTCGTTTCCTGGCGGATTATCCTTGACACTCTTCCTGATCGGACGAAAAAACGTGCTGATGGCACACATCGCATGGACATATTGTCCAAAATGCAGCACTGACATCACCCTGCACCCTCACTTGCATCCCTTCGCCGAAGCAACTAACCGTTGTTTTGAATATCGAGTCAGGCAAAAAGTTCGCCGCGACTTCGACAGATGGCGTTACGCGGCGGCGATGCAGCGCGAACGTTGGCAAAGGATTATCGTAATGACGATCGGACGCCGAAAGTATTCAAATAACATTGTGCATCACTATTAATATCACGGCATTTTCTTAGATCTATCTGTGTATTCTATAGTTATATATTTATTGTAACTAAATATTTTAAATGAATTGTAAATAAATATTCTTTCTAATATTAATAACGGCACCGGCCGCTGTCCCTGGCTTTTCGTGTCACAACTTCTGTGCGTCCCAGCTTGCGAATTTGGACTTTCGGAATAAAGCGTGTCTCCGCGCAAACTTTCGCCTCGTCGTTAACTAGACGTCTCCCCGCAAAACATCCGGCCGAAATACTCTCATGTCGACGCGGTGTTGCGCGACATTACGAAATTTTATGTGTCGTGTCTTCCACGTCCTGAGTCGCTCGAAAAATCAGCGTCGCGATTATATCCTCGGATCGCCGCATCACACCGACGCGCATACGTTACAATGTTCGGTTTTCACCGGCGAAAGGAACGGAGAAAGCGCCGCCGGCGCTTTAACTCCTCGTCGTGCTTGACAGGAGGACACGGTAATTAGATGAAGTATAATTTCCTGCGATCGCGCAGCGGATCCGTTCGTCTTCGTCACGACGACCGGCGAAGTCGCCGAATCGCGCACGCGAAGGAGAAAGAGCATCAGACGGACGGCCGCATAGCGAAATTACGTGTGACGATCAACGACTTTGAAGTTGTCTTTAAGATGATCATTTTTTTTAATGATTTTTCACCGTTATTTTATCATTTTTTTTTCCAACGTGCATAAACTGCAAAGACCTCACGAAGCGACCAATCGCCGTGTTTCCGTCGGTTCCCCTCGGTGAAGCGAAACACTCCAATGCGGATGACGTACGAGTGAATTTAATGAAATGGAATGACGTCATCATGGAGGTCGACCGGTACCTTACACGCGCCTTGTCAGTTTCCTTCGGACGGACTTCAGGTGGGTCTACCACGAGTGCTCTCTGCGAGCACTCCGAGATGTGAGATCAAAAAGGTGAAGGTTGATTAAAAAAAATCGCCTCAGAGACGACTTCGAAGTCGTTCCTCCGAAGTTGTTGATCGTCAAGCGTAACTTCGCCTGAGGCCATCCGCCTGATAAATCGCGACTGTGTATAATTTCGGTATTTCTAAAGACTTACCGAAAAGGAAACTGGACACGGCCTACGAGATTATTAATACAGCAAAAGGATAAATCGATCGTTTAAATACCGAATATACATACAATCGTATTGGGCATGTCAAAACGAAAGGTCAAGTTCACGCGCGGCTCGAGCCAACGAGTTATTCACGTTGTTCCGCGCGCGTCCCGCAAAACCGAGACCCGAGAGAACACGTGCGGACGCACACGAAATATCTGAATTACAAATTATCGGAGAAAAACAGAGAGATGGCACGATAATGCGAAGAGAGAAAATGTATTCCCAGTTGACGAGAATGCAAAAACCTCATCTCCTCTGATCGGATGCAGGAAAACGGATAATTATGTTGGATTATTACAGATAAGAACGCAGGATCACTGGAGATAAGGGGAACGATAAATGAGCGACGAGGAAAATCAGCGAGTTTCTTCGCGTTTCGAAATTACCGTCCCCCCTCATGAAGGGGGATGAGGAGTTTAGCGTGGATTCAGTCGGTATCGCATTTTTCGCAATCGTTGCCGCAAAGCATGATCACGCTCGCGTACGATGGGAATAAATTAAGATATTTTGTCCGCCGGTACGGACAAAAAAGTATCACTTATTCTCCTCCCTCCCTCTCGTCCTCTCTCATCGCTGCACAGATACGCGCAATTCTGCAATCATCGCGGGCACTGCGATTTTTTTTTCTCGCAGTGCGAGATGCATTTGAAGTTTCATCACATTCGCACAGAGAGTCGCATACAATTTAAAGTTACATACGCAACTAAAAATCGTTAATTGGCGAAACACGAGATTGCGTCCGAATCAACATCGCACTTGCGACATGAAATCGCGCGCGTATTAGAGCCGTATTTAGGATGCAAAACTATGATGCGATTTATTACATTCGTCATTCGTCTTGAGAAAGATCGCGCCGCGACGCACAATTTCATAAATCGCACATCCCTCCCCCCTGCTCCTTCTCTCTCTCTCTCCCCCCCCCTCTCTCTCTCTCTCTCTGTGTCCCGTCTTGCGCAGTGAGCGAAGGTCCCGAGGACGCAATTCTCTCGCGCAGTTTGCTAATCAAATTTTTGCAGGACGCCTCGCGTGAGCTGGAATTGCGCATCCCTCTCGCTTCGTCTAGCTTGGAGAACGCAGCGCGAGATGTTACGGCTTTCTAATTGGGAGCTCAGAATAGAATGTGGAAGCGTGTGTTCTCGTTGCGCATACATATTAAACATAATTCTTGCAAGTTAACATCGACTGGTAACGATATTAGGTACCGTGACGTCAGACTAAATCGCTGAAGCGATTGAAGCGATAGAGAAAGAGTGAGTGTGTATTGTCATTATTAACGGGTGTATGTATGTGTGTATATCATTCGATGCATACAGTTAAAAACGCGCACCACAGTCGTGTCCGTCACATTTCTTTTTATTGCGACGAAGATACAATATCTGCGAATGCGCGTCGTTGAGCTCGCGTACGCATTTTATTTACAAGTATGCAATACATACATATAGAAATCTTTTTATCTGGACATACGACTATGTATGAATCCAGGAGGATCTCGAGCGATAACATCTAGTAATCATATTTACCTTGATAGAAATAAGTTTATATACTATACAGAGGTTGAAGATTGATTTTCTTAGGAGCAAATCTCTTTTATCTGTCGATCTCGCCGAACACGATGTCCAAGGTGCCGATGATGGCGACCACATCGGCGAGGAAGTGCTTGGTTCCCATGTACTGCAGGGCCGCGAGATGCGCGAAGCCCGGCGCCTTGATTTTGCACCTGTACGGCTTGCTGCTACCGTCGCTCACGAGGTAAACGCCAAACTCGCCCTTCGGCGCCTCGATGGCGGTGTACGTGGCACCCGGCGGTACCTGGAAGCCCTGCGAGTACAACTTGAAGTGGTGGATCAGCGCCTCCATGCTGGTCTTCATCTCTTCCCGCCGTGGCGGCACTATCTTGGCGTCGTCGCACCGAACTTCACCTGCGGGCATCTGATTCAGACATTGATGGATAATGCGCAGGGACTGACGCATTTCTTCCATACGGCAGAGATACCTGGAACGAACGGTACAATAAAGATTCTCTGCCGAGTGTCTTGAGCCAAATATATAAAAATGGAAAGGTTGAGTGCAAAAATTATAACGCAGCTACAGCCATAGCGTTATTATGTCATTGCTAGAAACTGAAAAAGGGCAAAATTAATTTGCACACCTGATACATAACTGTCAACTTATCTAAACTCACCTGTCGTAGCAATCGCCATTTATGCCAACCGGTACATCAAAGTCGACCAGATCGTAAGCGTCATAAGGCGCGGTTTTCCTCAAATCCCACTTTATTCCAGAGCCACGTACCATCACGCCACTGAATCCAAAATTCAGCGCGTCTTCCGCAGATACGACGCCGATGTTAGTCGTGCGTTGCTTCCAGATTCTATTTTCCGTCAGCATATCCTCCACCTCATCTAATCGCTCGGTGTATTTAGTAGCCCAGTCGTAAATGTCATCCATCAGACCCAGTGGCATATCCAAGGAGACACCGCCAGGCCTTACATACGCTGCGTGCATGCGGGCCCCACTCACACGTTCGTAAAACTCCATTAGTTTCTCACGTTCCTCAAAGAGCCAGAAGAAGGGTGTCATGGCACCGATGTCCAAAGCGTGTGTGCCAATACCCATGATATGATTCAAGATCCTCGTGATTTCCGCAAAGAGTACTGTAAATGCACAAATAAGACTTTATAATATATGAACTGTTAAATATCAATATAATTACCATATCAATATATAATATAGTAAATACATTATTTTAATCCATCCTTGATTTCTCACATAGATTGATATATCTATGAATATTATCAATAATATGAGTTCATAGATAACGCTATACAAGCTTAGAGATACACGAGAATAAACTTGATCAGTTACAGAATGTTCTGTACTCTGATCCAAACAAAAATATGACTGTTACCTCGAATGTACTTGCCCCGCAGTGGCACATCAATGTTGAGTAACTTCTCGATAGCCAAAGAGAAGCATTGCTCATTGCACATCATAGAGACATAGTCCAGACGATCAAAGTAGGGCAAAGCCTGCATGTATGTCTTATATTCGATCAGTTTCTCAGTACCACGGTGTAAGAGACCTATGTGGGGATCAGCATTGAGTACTATTTCACCGTCCAGCTCCAAGATCAGTCTCAGTACACCATGAGCAGCCGGGTGCTGCGGGCCGAAATTGATCTTAATGTTTTGTATTGTTTGTTCAGGAAACTTGTGCTTCATGAGCAAAAAATCCTTGGGCGGTGTCCAATCGATCTTCTCCGTTGTGTAGATTAACGGTTTGTTGAATTGCTCCAAGAATTTTCTGTCTGGATTCCATTGCTTAGCACCACGACGCTGTCTATAAAACATACATATTGTCAGCGAGGATGTATCGACGAATGAGTCGTATAGGGGTTATGACGAGCTTACATAATAACGCATGCAGTTACAGTAAAGTCGTACTACGTCAAACGCGAATAATTACTTACACGTCGACAATTGCGGGCACACTATTTGGCGAGAATAATCTATTAGCGCTGAGAAATCCTGCGTTTTTACGCAGGATCGACCCCCACACTCTGGTCGCCATGATGCTCACATCACGTCCGAAGCGCTCAATCGATAACAATTGGAACATAGGCTTGCCCTCCTCAGCTCAACTGTCTGCACTGGTGCAAGAAACGTGCAAAATGTTCTTTCGAACGGAAATGGCGTCGGTGCGCAGACAGTGCGATAGCAGAGAGGAAGCTGAGAGCGGCCAACACGGCGTTTTCGATGACACCGATTTTTCGCACTGAAAATGGGCGCTATCTGCATCCATTTTGAGAGGGCAACTACGATGCTACATCCACTTTTAGGTCTCGACGGTAAAACTTGCATCTGGTGGCTGTCCGTGCTACATCCACTTTCAGGCGGTTTATGTCCGTGCTACAACCATAATAGCCTACTTGACAAGCACGGTCTCGCGCATTGTTATGCATTTGTAACATGAATTAACATGTTAACATGCACAAAAAAAATAAGAATTGAGATTGCATATGATTAATATCATGAAGATTATATACGATTTATATCGATATATAAATATATGATAATAAGATAATATTTTGTGTGTACCCAAAATTATTTTTCCAAAATATTTCAGCGTTAGTATTTATTTACACTGCGGCAGGCGTTTTTTAGCACAGTTGTATCCGTGTGCATGTGTGCATTGAAAGTGTGAGTGACGTACGTGTGCATATACGTACTCACACACACACACACACACACACCCCACGTGTCATACACAACAGATAGAATCTCAGGGTATATGCTTAAACATTTTCAATTGCCGTGCGTTTCTATGTAAGAATGTAGTCGGCACACACGCAGAGAAACTGCTCCCGTCTATCCGTCTGAAGTCCCCGTTAAAGTTTTCCAACCTATATCCGTTGATATCTCCGCGTCTACTGGGAGCAGAGAGTCGTCATTTACGGCAAAATGTAGGGTTTTGAGAGGACTTTAATTTGGTGCCAGAAACAGGCCAGTATCTCTAACCGTTTAGGAGATATCGAAGGTTAAAGTTTTCCAAGCTTCCTCCTTTGATATCTCCGCTTCTACTGGGAGTAGAGAGTCGTCACTTACGGCAAAATGTAGGGTTTTGAGAGGACTTTAATTTGGTGCCAGAACCAGGCCTGTATCTCTAACCGTTTAGGAGATATCGAAGGTTAAAGTTTTCCAAGCTTTCTCCGTCGATATCTCCGCTTCTACTGGGAGTAGAGAGTCGTCACTTACGGCAAAATGTAGGGTTTTGAGAGGACTTTAATTTGGTGCCAGAACCAGGCCTGTATCTCTAACCGTTTAGGAGATATCGAAGGTTAAAGTTTTCCAAGCTTTCTCCGTTGATATCTCCGCTTCTACTGGGAGTAGAGAGTCGTCACTTACGGCAAAATGTAGGGTTTTGAGAGCACTTTAATTTGGTGCCAGAACCAGGCCTGTATCTCTAACCGTTTAGGAGATATCGAAGGTTAAAGTTTTCCAAGCTTTCTCCGTTGATATCTCCGCTTCTACTGGGAGTAGAGAGTCGTCACTTACGGCAAAATGTAGGGTTTTGAGAGCACTTTAATTTGGTGCCAGAACCAGGCCTGTATCTCTAACCGTTTAGGAGATATCGAAGGTTAAAGTTTTCTAAAATCTCTCCGTTGATACCTCCGCTTCTACTGGGAGTAGAGAATCGTCACTTACGGCAAAATGTAGGGTTTTGAGAGGACTTTAATTTGGTGCCAGAACTAGGCCTGTATCTCTAACCGTTTAGGAGATATCGAAGGTTAAAGTTTTCCAAGCTTTCTCCGTTGATATCTCCGCTTCTACTGGGAGTAGAGAGTCGTCACTTACGGCAAAATGTAGGGTTTTGAGAGCACTTTAATTTGGTGCCAGAACCAGGCCTGTATCTATAACCGTTTAGGAGATATCGAAGGTTAAAGTTTTCCAAGATTTCTCCGTTGATATCTCCGCTTCTACTGGGAGTAGAGAGTCGTCACTTACAGCAAAATGTAGGGTTTTGAGAGGACTTTAATTTGGTGCCAGAAACAGGCCTGTATCTCTAACCGTTTAGGAGATATCGAAGGTTAAAGTTTTTCAAGCTTTCTCGATTGATATCTCCGCTTCTATTGGGAGTAGAGAGTCGTCACTTACGGCAAAATGTAGGGTTTTGAGAGCACTTTAATTTGGTGCCAGAACCAGGCCTGTATCTCTAACCGTTTAGGAGATATCGAAGGTTAAAGTTTTCCAAGCTTTCTCCGTCGATATCTCCGCTTCTACTGGGAGTAGAGAGTCGTCACTTACGGCAAAATGTAGGGTTTTGAGAGGACTTTAATTTGGTGCCAGAACCAGGCCTGTATCTCTAACCGTTTAGGAGATATCGAAGGTTAAAGTTTTCCAACCTTTCTCCGTCGATATCTCCGCTTCTACTGGGAGTAGAGAGTCGTCCATGTAGTGCAAAATGTAGGGTTTTGAAAGGGCCTTAATTTGGTACCTGTCCGAAGCCTGTATCTCTAACCGTTTAGGAGATATCGAAGGTTAAAGTTTTCCAACCTTTCTCCGTCGATATCCAGCCTTCATCCGTCGATATCTCCGCTTCTACTGGGAGTAGAGGTTCGTCCATGTAGTCCAAAATGTAGGGTTTTGAAAGGGCTTTAATTTGATACCTGTCCGAAGCCTGTATCTCTAACGGTTTAGGAGATATCGAAGGTTAAAGATTTCCAACCTTTCTCCGTCGATATCCAGTCTTCATCCGTCGATATCTCCGCTTCTACTGGGAGTAGAGAGTCGTCCATGTAGTCCAAAATGTAGGGTTTTGAAAGGGCTTTAATTTGGTACCTGTCCGAAGCCTGTATCTCTAACCGTTTAGGAGATATCGAAGGTTAAAGATTTCCAACCTTTCTCCGTCGATATCTCCGCTTCTACTGGGAGTAGAGAGTCGTCCATGTAGTGCAAAATGTAGGGTTTTGAAAGGGCTTTAATTTGGTACCTGTCCGCAGCCTGTATCTCTAACCGTTTAGGAGAAATCGAAGGTTAAAGTTTTCCAACCTTTCTCCGTCGATATCCAGTCTTCATCCGTCGATATCTCCGCTTCTACTGGGAGTAGAGAGTCGTTCATGTAGTCCAAAATGTAGGGTTTTGTAAGGGCTTTAATTTGGTACCTGTCCGAAGCCTGTATCTCTAACCGTTTAGGAGATATCGAAGGTTAAAGTTTTCCAACCTTTCTCCGTCGATATCTCCGCTTCTACTGGGAGTAGAGAGTCGTCCATGTAGTGCAAAATGTAGGGTTTTGAAAGGGCTTTAATTTGGTACCTGTCCGAAGCCTGTATCTCTAACCGTTTAGGAGATATCGAAGGTTAAAGTTTTCCAACCTTTCTCCGTCGATATCCATCCTTCATCCGTCGATATCTCCGCTTCTACTGGGAGTAGAGGCTCGTCCATGTAGTCCAAAATGTCGGGTTTTGAAAGGGCTTTAATTTGGTACCTGTCCGAAGCCTGTATCTCTAACCGTTTAGGAGATATCGAAGGTTAAAGTTTTCCAACCTTTCTCCGTTGATATCTCCGCTTCTACTGGGAGTAGAGAGTCGTCCATGTAGTGCAAAATGTAGGGTTTTGAAAGGGCTTTAATTTGGTACCTGTCCGAAGCCTGTATCTCTAACCGTTTAGGAGATATCGAAGGTTAAAGTTTTCCAACCTTTCTCCGTCGATATCCAGCCTTCATTCGTCGATATCTCCGCTTCTATTGGGAGTAGAGGGTCGTCCATGTAGTCCAAAATGTAGGGTTTTGAAAGGGCTTTAATTTGGTACCTGTCCGAAGCCTGTATCTCTAACCGTTTAGGAGATATCGAAGGTTAAAGTTTTCTAACCTTTCTCCGTCGATATCCAGCCTTCATCCGTCGATATCTCCGCTTCTATTGGGAGTAGAGGGTCGTCATTGTATTCCAAAATGTAGGGTTTTGAAAGGGCTTTAATTTGGTACCTGTCCGAAGCCTGTATCTCTAACCGTTTAGGAGATATCGAAGGTTAAAGTTTTCTAACCTTTCTCCGTCGATATCCAGCCTTCATCCGTCGATATCTCCGCTTCTATTGGGAGTAGAGGGTCGTCATTGTAGTCCAAAATGTAGGGTTTTGAAAGGGCTTTAATTTGGTACCTGTCCGAAGCCTGTATCTCTAACCGTTTAGGAGATATCGAAGGTTAAAGTTTTCTAACCTTTCTCCGTCGATATCCAGCCCTTCATCCGTCGATATCTCCGCTTCTATTGGGAGTAGAGGGTCGTCATTGTAGTCCAAAATGTAAGGTTTTGAAAGGGCTTTAATTTGGTACCTGTCCGAAGCCTTTATCTCTAACCGTTTAGGAGATATCGAAGGTTAAAGTTTTCCAACCTTTCTCCGTCGATATCTCCGCTTCTACTGGGAGTAGAGAGTCGTCCATGTAGTGCAAAATGTAGGGTTTTGAAAGGGCTTTAATTTGGTACCTGTTCGAAGCCTGTATCTCTAACCGTTTAGGAGATATCGAAGGTTAAAGTTTTCCAACCTTTCTCCGTCGATATCCATCCTTCATCCGTCGATATCTCCGCTTCTACTGGGAGTAGAGGGTCGTCCATGTAGTCCAAAATGTAGGGTTTTGAAAGGGCTTTAATTTGGTACCTGTCCGAAGCCTGTATCTCTAACCGTTTAGGAGATATCGAAGGTTAAAGTTTTCCAACCTTTCTCCGTCGATATCTCCGCTTCTACTGGGAGTAGAGAGTCGTCCATGTAGTGCAAAATGTAGGGTTTTGAAAGGGCTTTAATTTGGTACCTGTCCGAAGCCTGTATCTCTAACCGTTTAGGAGATATCGAAGGTTAAAGTTTTCCAACCTTTCTCCGTCGATATCCAGTCTTCATCCGTCGATATCTCCGCTTCTACTGGGAGTAGAGAGTCGTTCATGTAGTCCAAAATGTAGGGTTTTGAAAGGGCTTTAATTTGGTACCTGTCCCGAAGCCTGTATCTCTAACCGTTTAGGAGATATCGAAGGTTAAAGTTTTCCCAACCTTTCTCCGTCGATATCCAGCCTTCATCCGTCGATATCTCCGCTTCTACTGGGAGTAGAGAGTCGTCCATGTAGTGCAAAATGTAGGGTTTTGAAAGGGCTTTAATTTGGTACCTGTCCGAAGCCTGTATATCTAACCGTT